CACTTCTACAAAGAAGATGTCTGGACAGGAATGGGAAATTAAATTTTTAAATTAAAAAAAATTGTTAAATGAATGTGACTGAAGCAGCAAAGCTAGAAGAACTACACTACCTACAACTGACTTCTTATCCAGAGCAGTCTGGAATTCAGAAATATGGTAACTGAATAAAAATATGAGATCATCAGCCTGTTCTTATATCAAGGGCATTAACAAGACCAGTTTCAAGTAAAGAATTAAAGGGAAACAAAGGACAAACAAAACCAATGAAGGATTTCAAAATACTTCAATTTCAAAATGTGTCCATCTTTCTTTCAAAGAGCCAGACCACAGGGGAGAAGCTTTCACTTTTGGATACTGAACGGTGAAGACAACATAAGCACTTCAAATTATGTTGAATATAGAGGCAGCCAACTTGAGAATACATCAGGGCCATCTGGGAACAAAAGCTTGTCTCCAGAAAATGAGCAGCATCCCCAGTGCACTTTTGCACAGGCCGAAACTGTCTTCTCGTTACAAATGACATGTCTATTTGTAGTGAGGTTATGCTTCGCATCTGAGAGTTTAATCATATTACTTCATCCTGCTGCCACAGTTGATCAAATAGCAAGGCTGAACTGGAAGATAAAATTGTTATTTTTAAGTCTATAGAATGTATTTGGAAAAAAAAAAAAAATTGTCAGGCCAATCCGGAGAAATATTCCACAAGGATTATGAGTAGCACCTTGGTATAGAATCATAGCATCATAGAATCATAGAATAGTTGGGTTGGAAGAGACCTTTAAAGATCATCTAGTCCCACCCCCCTGCAATGAGCAGGGACATCTTCAACTAGCTCAGGGTGCTCAGAGCCCCGTCCAACCTGACCTTGAATGTTTCCAGGGATGGGGCAGCTACCACCTCTCTGGGCAACCTGTGCCAGTGTTTCACCACCCTCACTGTAAAAAATTTTATGTTGTCATCCAAATATGCATGTTCCTTGGTACCTGTGGTGCAGCACCATGAAACTCTGCAGTAATAAAAGGGGGACTGAAGAGGGGTGAGAGGCATGCAAAGGCCAACACCTGCAGTGGCGGAGAGGCAGGAGAGCTCCCATCAGATCAGCAGGGAGAACCTTTCAGTGTCAAGCTGCAACCACAGGAAAAATCACACACTTGAAGGCAAGGCACAAAGGCAGCCATGGAAGATAGTGAAACACGTGCTGTTGGCAGAATAGGTAACTCAACCCATGTAAAGGGCCACCAACTGCACCTGAGGTCAGTTAAAGGTTGTCGTCACTGAAAGATGACACCAAAGAGAGAAAAAGGAAAACCGATGGGAGCACTGACAAAAGCACCTTCTTCATGTGGCAGTAAAACAGTACAAGAAAGGAGCCTGATCTCGTGACCTCTGTAACTCCCTGGCTCTGTAATAGCCTACATCCATGTGTTCCTGCCGCCAGCTGCCGTCCTTCGGCAGAGCCTGGCACCTCAACCAAAGACAGCGGCAGGCAACCTCTGCAACAAGACAGCTGATTTCCCCAGGCACGGCTCTGCAGGGTTGCACAGCTTTCTCCAGACCACGAGCCTGAACGCAAGAAGATTTTTAGGGCTCCAGGGCTTTTTCCAGCCCTTGATCTCTTGTCATAGGTGACTGCTGAAGAACTTCTGTCATCCATCTGCAGTTATGGTCTGAAAAACTGCCCTTCCAAATAAGAGCTTGCAGATTATATTGAATTAATTTAACCTGTAGGCTCATGTTAATTGGTAACACATAATCTCTTTTAAAAACCCATAATCCTTTTCTTAAGTGGTCAACACCAAGTACTTCTAAGGAAAATAGAAACCTTCCTAATCCTTGCTAGTTAAAAATTGCCATAAATCATAAAATATGAGGCTTAATGTATCTTTCTAAATGTATTCTAACATATTTCAGATGTCACAGAGATATAAGTATTAAATAGCATTTCTTCAAATATTATTTCTTTCCTATGTTTTTGATCTCTTTTCAGTCTTGACTAGTGTTCAACCTTCATGACATGTTACAGCAATACTAGTAGTAATGTTATAGCACAAGGGTCTAAAGAAATAAGTGGGGCAAGGCTTGTAAGGAGAGGAAATAGCTTTCATTAGACCAACTGATACTAATTACACAGTGAATGAAAAATGCATTTCTTTGCCTTACTTTTGAATTTGCCAGTTGTTTTCACTCTGTGCCCCTGGGCTCTTGGGATGTTAAATAACGAGAAGCACCCCCTGCTTCCTCTGCACCCTTCTGTATTTTAGGTCATTTTTATAGTGCCCTTGCTTATATGTCTCTTTTCTAGAATGAACAATCCCAGCTTTTATGGATTTCCTATGCCCTGAGCCCTTTCTCTTTCTGGGAAGGACTGGTCTTTTTGCACAGTATCCTAAGTGAAAAATCAATGATTGTCTGTGAATTGGTAATACCATAGTTTATTGTATGGCTCTGCACTGCAGTCTTTCTGTATTCCAGCAAAATGGTGGGTTTTTGTCTGACACCTTGTGTTTGTGGAACTGCCCATATGGATCCCTCAGTCACTTCCATGAATTAATTGAGAGCAGTTCTATAAGAGAAATAAATACTTTAAATGTTACCCTTCTAAACATGAATTTTTCTGTCATGGTGAAATATAAGTAAGTTCATCTAAAAGATTAATTCAGATACATTTTTATAATCCATACATTTTTTTCTCTCTTTCTGTTTTCTTCACTTCCAGATCATCAACAGATACATTAAACATTGGACCAAAACCAGAACCTGCTGTTTACCTTCTGTATCGATGAGCATTCACAAGGAAAAAGAAAACAGAAATAAACCAAAGGGCAGGAGAAGAACTAGATTACTTTCACCGTTTTTCAAACACAATGAATTGCACCACATTCCAGTGCCAAACAGAGGTGCTACTTACATCGTTCCTTCTTAATATAGTAATTCCCATTTTTCTGACATGTATTTTTCCAAATCAAAATAATTCAGTGTTGACATCTAAATTTTCACTTTTTATCTAAGAGAAGCAGAACGGTTTTTTCTGCGGAACGGAAAGGAAGGGAAGGGAACAGAGAAGAAGAGAGGAGAGGAGAGGAGAGGAGAGGAGAGGAGAGGAGAGGAGAGGAGAGGAGAGGAAAAAGAAAGAAAAAAATATTTCAGACCTTACAATTTATAAAGCTGCTACACTTTAGTAAAAGTTAAAGCTGCACAAATAACAATCAGAAATGTAATATGCCACATCATCCTGTAATTATCACTCAAAGTTTTTGCTACTATTTCAGCCTTTGCCTGCAAGTAGCTAAATATGTATGATTCTCTGTAACTTCATTTTTTGTGTGTATTATTATGAAATTATGTGTCTTCCGTTAATCTTTAAGCTAATATTTAATTATTGTTTTATCTCTATCAATGTAACGTGCAAGAAGAAATATTCCATTTTCTCTAACAAGGACAAAATTAAAAATCAATTTCTAAGCCATCTCATTTTGAAAAGTAATTTTAAAAGCAATGAGACTATCACTTTGAATTATATAACAAATCATTTCATGTTTTAGAGCACACAACAGTCAAGGGTCATTTATTTAGTAAATTCAGCTCAGTTTTCCAATGCAGCTCATATTTTGTTTGTCCTGACTTTACTATCTCCATCTTCATTGTAGCACAATATGAAAATATATGAAGACCTGATGTTTCTTACAGCTGTTTGTATTTCTGAGCAGTGATGTTCCCTTCTCCTCTGGCCTAACATCTCATTTGAACCTGTGATGGGTTAGTTGCCCTCCAAGAACCAGCCTCAGTTCAAATTCCCGAGCGCACTGGTGCTGATTACCAGGAACCCCACTGTGGGGTCTTTTCCCTTTGGGGATGCTCTGCCATAGCACCCACCGCCAGAGCCTGAGCCACAAAGTGGGGCAGTGGGGCTCTGACTATGCTGCCAGAGCACCGTACAGCCAAATGTCTCAAGTGCTCTGCAAATATCTGCAAAGTCTTGCTTTAGAGGTGATAATATAACATGAGAAATTAAGATCACAGGTATTTTATAAATGGGTAGACTAAGGACATGAAGGCTAAGTCACTTTCCAAAGGCCATGCATATGCAGAGCCAGAAATAACAATAAAATAAATTATGATTTATAAAGTCTATAAAATAGAATCATATCAAGTAGATTTTACTTCTCCCACCGCTCAGTAGTCTTTAACAAATCCTTAATTGACATAAATTACAGTGACCTTCCTGAAACCATTGAAGCTTTCCCCATTTCGAGAAAGAGAAAACTGGCCTGTTCATTTTCTGATTCCCTTTTTCTCTCCTTGCCAAAGGAAACAAACCCCAAAACTTTTTCATGGATGGGATCCTTGAGGATATGGTATTAAGCTTAGCCGGTACTGAAATTCAGAGTAGGGCAACCGCCTGCTTTACAATATTTCAGGCAAAAGTTGTTGGTTTTAACAAACATGCCTTGGTGGGTTTTTTTACTTCAGTGTGCTGTTGAGATAGGAAAATGCAGGTAGCCCAACCTCCCTTTCTACACTTGCCTCATGCAATTGGTAAGGTCTCAGAGGCCAACAATATATGAAATGGCTGAGCACCATTTCATTTGAAATGATGTAGCCATCCCCTCTTGTTGCTCACCTTTGTCATGTGCAGCACGTGAAACATCTAATGGGTGAGCAGCGACTCAAAGAGCCCTTAGCAGCCGCTGAGCTGTTCAATCAGTCTGGCTCTGGAAATATTGAGCCAGAGTCGGATCAGATGTACAAAGAGCCTGGCGAGCGGAGTTACATGACAATAAACTTGGTATGAGAGGAGACCGAGCAAAACAAAACAGATGATAAAGGCATGATTTGCTTGCCGTTAGCAATGCCTCTGTAACATCACAGGCTATCTCTAAGCTATATTTTCCACTGCATTACCAGCTTGCAAAACTTTTAATGGAACAAGTTTTTCTGGCAGAAGAACACTGATTTTTATCTTTAATGAGCAGCCTCTCTATCATTTAGCTTCAGGAAACAGCTTCCTGGTTGTAAACTGCTTGAGAGTGCTGAGAGACAGTCAACTTCAAAAGCAGCCAGGAGAAACTTTCTTGCTAACTTTGGGAAGGAATTAAAAAATGCTGAAAGGTGCAGATGATGTTGTCATGGAGCAGGAGGACTCTGCTTCCCGACATGGAGAAATGACAAGTTGGGATATCAATGACATCAAACTTCCCCAGGTATGTGTCTGTTCTTAGAAATTTATCCAGTTCTGACCAGTCTTCTCCACTTCACCGCTGATCTTAAATGCTCTCTCAGTCATCTATGCCTCATTGCCTTTACTCTCTTTGCCACCTTGAGGTATGGGACAATGTTTTGCTGAAAAGCTAGAAAATACCAAGCAAAATATTGAAGTTTCCATGTATTTTTTCCTTAAAAGTATTATTGAAAGAGCTGCTGATAAATGAAAAATAGTGATACTATAGATGCGTTGACTTTCTAGTCCACTGGTGGATAAGGTGCAGAGAAAGCAGAGGAAAAAATTATCTCCTGCTGTGGCTGCTCAATTAGATGTCCAGGACTTGCTTTTTGCCCGGGGTAGTGCTTTATGAGAAATGAGCACAGCACCCACAACTGCCTTGCAACGCTGGGTGCTCAGCATTGCTGCAGATTGGGTTCTAGGCAAGCAGGCTGGCTTTCCGCACGGAGGCAACACTCCTTTTGCAAGCACCTGGGAAAAGCTTGCTTCATGTGGGCAGAGATTTGCTGAGAGGCAGAATAGTGATCTTTCCTCCCCTCAAACCTTTTCTAGTCCTCTTATCTAAAAATCTCATCCATGCTCTCCACTGAAAGCCCACAGCACCCCACACCCCAATGTCATCTCCTTGTCCCTCACCTTAGCATATTTGTGCCAGACTCCTCTTGCTGGGGTTCTTCACCGTCCAGCTCTTTCATCTCCCAACCCTGTCTTCTTACCTGACCCCAGTCTCTTCCCTACTATGTCACTGCTGTTCGCCCAAAGCCTCCATGTCCCAGGCTGCCTCCTTCCCTGCTCTCCACCCCAAGGTCACCTTCACCTGCATTTCAGCCTGGAGGCTTCCTCCACACCCTTCCCTATCTTATCCGATTGCTCCTGGGGGAGCACAGGAGTTTTTCTCTTCTCAGTTGATGTTCCTGCTGCTGTAATGGCTCTCGGTGGTTGGGATGAGCAATTTCAAGGAAATTCCTACTAAGTTTTTGTACCCCTACAATGACCTTTTCCCCCAAAACCATCAGTGGGTGTGTTAGGTGCTTTACAGCTTACTGCATTTTACTGTGTTAACTGTACCCACTGAGGTGATGTGTGGTTGGTCCTTTGTATTTTCTTCCGTTGAGTTTTATTTTTATTGTTCCTTACAGTGTTGTCTTTGGGGGTTTTTTTTTGCTTAGTCTATAGCAGTGGGAAAAAAAAAACGACCAACATGTTATTTGTTTTGGACTTCAGAAAAATCACCGTTGAAATCTTTCACGGCACTTAGGCCAAAATGAACCGAAGTCCAGAACTGAAGACCTACAAATGGGGGCATACTCTCAGTTTGATTCAGTATTTGCTCTTTTTCCAGTGAGTTGAGCCAAATCAAGCCAAATGATTCAGTGCAAGGCTGTTGTGAATAGCCTGAAAGGCAAAGCAGGATCTCTGCCATGAAAGCTAACAGAAGTTAGTCAGGGAGTGACTGCTGCCTGAAAGGAAAGTATCTGCTATTTTACGTCAGGCGCCCCACCTTCCTCTCCCAGGTAGGCCCTGCGCTGAGCTGGACCCGTGGGTGAGTGAGAACAACGTCCTGGCCAGGCTTTCCTGATGCTTTGGGTTCACGGGGAGCCACATGGAGCTGTGTTTTTCCTGCCTTCTCTCCACTTCTCCCTTCTGCCAACCAGCATCACCTGCCACGGTGCTGGAGTCACCCAGGCTAGAGGACACCCAGCAGAGGACCAGGTCTGCTGGCCTCTTGCACAAGGTCTTCTCTTCCCCGGCTTAAAACGTGGCTTGCTTTGGTGTCTCCACAGGACGTAAGACAGATAGACTGGTTTCAAGAATGGCCAGATTCCTACGTAAAACATATCTATAGCTCAGAGGATAAAAATGCTCAGAGGCACCACAGCAGCTGGGCAATGAGAAACACCAACAACCACAACTCTCGCATCTTAAAAAAGTCCTGCCTCGGGGTGGTGGTCTGCAGCAACGACTGCTCGACCTTGGATGGGAGGAAGATCTACCTAAGACCAGCCATATGTGATAAAGCTAGGCAAAAACAACAGCGTGAGTATGAACATGGCTGTTCATTATATGGCAGTTCATAAGTGAACACAACACAAAAGAAATCAAAGTAGAGGATACCCTTTGGATTATCCAACCTTCCCATTGCCATTCCTTATATTCAAATGCAACTCTTGATTTTAGAACAATGCATTTTACATTTCTTACTGTTAGGGGAGGAATTGTTTGCTTGTTTGCTTTCTTTTTTTTTCTTTTTTAATCTCCATTTCTGATGGTTAGAGGTTGATTCCCAGCCTTCTCAGGCCCATGAGTGAGACTACTGAGAAAGCTGTGCAGAGCAGGCAGCTTCTTGCTGTGCTGTTCCTTCTGACCTGAGTGTTGGCTTCATTACTGCATGGGCCCAAGAGTCACTCAGGAGGCAAGCCTTGCAGGGAAGTTGTTCATAAACTATGATGACTGGAAAATAGGCCTTATAGTCATGTCACCAGAGCAAGACAATGCAAACAGAGAACATGAGCTGCACGTACATTTTTAACGAGACCATTCCAAACAATTGTTGATTGCTCAGTAGAGCTAGCACATACTGATTTCTGGATCTGATGAACATTTTGGCTGAAGAAAGGTACTACTCAAGCACTCACTAGTAAAAAATATCCTCTAGATGTCCTCTAGAAAAATCAGTCAAGAACACATATGACATTCCAGACACTGCCAAGTTAAAAACAACTAAAACTGACCATGGTAATAAATGATAAAATGGTAATAAAACTATAATAGAAATAATTTTTGCCAGATATATTTAATAATGGAGCAGGGAAAAAGGAATGATTAGTTTGCTTATATTGATTTTTGCTTACATTTGAAAGTTTTTTGCATAGTTTTTCTCAGTGTAGTCTCTGAGCCCCAAACCAGAAGTGGCAATCCACCACCAATGAACCATTGTATCACATGGGATTCATCTGATTCGTGTCATACAGAAAATATTTCCCACCATCTTTGCTCCAGGGAAATGCTGTCCAAACTGCAATGGACCCCTGCGGCTCCTTTCCTGCCGAGGCCATGGTGGTTACCCAGTTACCAACTTCTGGAGGCATGAAGGCCAATTCATTTTTTTTCAGGTTGGTATAAAATTACCTTACATTATGCAAGTTAATTTTAAAGACTGTTGTTTAAGATTGATTAAGGAAGTTTTTTGTTCCAACAAATAAGGGTCACTGAATATGACAAGGTCAAATGACTGTAAGGAGAAAAATTTTCACAATGAGAGGGCAAGGTCCTAAGCAACCTGATCTAACTCTGAAGTTAGTTCTGCCTGAGCAGCAGGTTGAACTAGACCTCCAGAGGTCCCTTCCAACCTAAATTAGCCTATGCTACTATGATTTTACAGCATATTATATTTTTCATTTAGGATCCCGTGAAAAACTGTTGATTTTGAAGCACTTTGCCTCAGGTACATAGAAACCAACGAATCCTCAAAAAGTCAGAAATGCTGTGTTATCTCAACCTCTTCTCCAAGGCACCACGCATAAGCATGAGAAGGAAATGGTTATACCCAAGGGACTGTCTATGGAAAATGCCATCTGCGCATTGTATGTGGAAAACAGTGTATGCAAGTGTTTAAATAATGGGCATTATTTCTGGAAGCTGTAGTCCTAGTACCATAACCACTGAACTGTTTCCTGTTTTCCAGTCTTTCACTTATGTGCAGGTTAAATAAAATTAATTCTCTGTGGAAGCTAATGGAAATTAATGTTCTGATAAGCATGCCTAAAGTGTGAGAAGAATGGAAATGACTGCAGGGACACTGCAGCCAGGCTGCAGAAGACCTTGTGGCTTCAACTGGGGCTCTAGTGTGGGAAGTCTCTTCTGCACATGAATGTGGTGCCCTGGTTTTATGATTTCAGGGAATTTCTACCCCATCACACTTCGTCTGAGATATGTTTGTTACTTCAGCTCACGTTAAATAAGTCTTATTAAATACAAAGCATTAAATCAGGGCATATGTGTGGTTTTGGCCTGTGCTACAAATTCTGCTCCCTTAAGATTAATAACAAGGTTGTTTCTAACTTTAACATATCATAATTCCTTTCTGAAGTCCAAAGGAGCTCATGACCATCCACGACCAGAGACAAAACTAGAAGCAGAGGCAAGAAGATCAATCCAAAAAGCACAGACAGCTTTTTCTCCATCCTCTCCAAGATTAAAAAGAATCCAGGAGATTGAGGTAACTCTTATTATTGATCAACGAAATTGTGGGGCAGTGACCCACGGTTCAGGGGATGGTAGAGGCTATCTGGGCTTTGGGTCTGGGTGGGAGCAGGCTTTACATCTCTGCATTCTGCCTCTCCATAATCAGGCCAAGAAGGAGCAGGGCTGTCCTGAGCATCCTGCTCTGCTCATCACTGTCATCCACTGCCACCACCCCTGGCTGGAGCTTCTTTGGGCCTGGTGGCAGCAGGGGATTACATCTATACTGGTAAACAAAGCAGGGCTGGAGGGCAGGCTCAGTCGCATCACTATTCACATGATCCCTGTCACGGATTTGGCTAGTGCTAACTCATGCTCACAGACAAAATGCCCTGGCACGGGGCAGGAGGACAGCATGTGCCAGGGACCATTCCCTGGCAGGATTTTGGACAAGGTTGCACCAGGTTTGGGTCCTTTCACTGTACACAGCTGGCTTTAAACCTACCTGTGCTCCTATGCCCCTATATCATGCTACAAGCCACAGGCAATAAGAATCTCGAGCTGATGCTGTGAAAAATAGCCCTTGGTGGGCTGCAACACAGCCCTTGCATCATTTCTGTTCAGGTCCAGAGGTCACCCAAGGCCAGGATGTAGTGTGGACACTGCCAGGCCATGCCTTTTGGTCCCTGTTACCAACGACAGTCCTTGGCCTCATTTTATTTATGGACTTAGCTTTAGAGCCCCAGCTCTTCCCTTTTTTAAATGCAAGAGTTGCCTTTAGAAACACAAGTTCTTTGTTAGCGCTGCTCCAGAAATTAAATTATTTACAAAGACATCTGGGAATAAAGTAATTAGATATTTAGTCTAATCAGTATTGGCATTGAAGGAGAATATTAGAAAGTTTTAATTGGATTTACCTTATTGATTGCACCACCCCATAAGAAAATTGTAACAAATGAACACTTGAAAACTGGGAAGTGCTTTTGGCAATAACTGAACACAGGAGGAAGATTCGTGTACATGTGTACACATACACACACACACACTGTATACTATTTTACTATAGAATACAATATATAACATTACCTATATGATATGCCTATTATAGGCATATGTATGGTATCTTGACAAAACAAACTTGTCACTAACAAGGCAAATCCAGAAATCCTTACTCCTTCTTCCTCCAGTCCCCCAACCTTTACATGAGAAAACCCAGTTACTTCAGTAGCAGGCCTGGATTGTTTTATTCCCAGAAGTAAGGCCCATCAGGGAGAGAGATGCTTTCTTGCAGGGCAGCTGCCCCTGAGCAGGATTCGGCCACCTGCAGACCCTCAAGGGCTGTGAGGGCACCCTCAGGTGCAGGACACACTGCCCCACCCTTGGAGAGACAGCAGGAGGTCATGTTTTCTCCACATTGACACGTGTCCCAAAGTCCGCCACTGATATGGAGGAGGTGTCGCAGAAAAGAGAAGGCGCCCTCCACCTCTGCTCGTCCCCCTGGGTTTTGCCAGGGTTGATAAGGGGAAGGTGCACCACCTCTGCCTGGTGTGCCCCGCTTGCTTCCTGGGTCTCCAGGAGGGCTTTGAAGGCAGAAGAGTCTTTGAAGGACTTACAGAAGCACTGACGTTAAAAAATCAGCTCTGCTGGGTGTGGAAACACTTGTGAAAGCATCTACAGAGATCCTGTGGACTGTCACCTGCCTGATGGAGAGAACCAGGTAGAGCAGTGAGGCTGTCTCCAGTGACCTTCCTTGTAAAGGCTGTGTTACGCACAATTGTACACCACCGGTCTTCACGTGCAGTTTGTCTTTTGATGTGCTAGAGGTGGTGCATCCTCCCCAGCCGGGTGTTCAGGATAGTAATCAGTGCCCCTTCAGCTACAGACGAAAGGGATAATTGGGCTGGGTGGGGACAGACTTCTTAAATCGATGATATGGGGAAGCAGGGGGATCCAGGAGCCCAAGAAGTAAATTAAGAGTGAACAGAGGAAGTTAAACCCATTTGAATGGAATATGAATTAAGTAGCTGCGGCTATTTCTACTGAAAATACTCAGGAGGACACTAAAAACCAGAGCTCAGAAGTGACTCTCATGGAGACACACTGACTTGGGATGGGACAGTCAGAGAGTACAGGACAGACTGGTGGTGGCCTCTTGACACAAGCGCCTGGGAACACAAGCATAAGAAAAAGCAGCTGAGCCACTGTGTAAATCTCTCACAAATACAGAAACAATGATTTTTATATCACTGGTTTAATTCTGTCCCCATGAACACTAAAATAGTCCTCACCTAGGAAATGTTACTCAGCCACGTGCCTTTTTTTCTTTTATACCTGAGCCTACTGGTCTTACTGAGGTCAAGTTCCCTCTACACGTCTTCTTCTTTCCCTTCCTACAGCATCTTCCAGGTGTTTTCACTTCGAATTGTGTGGGAGTAGGAACAGACCAAAGATGTCATAAATATCTAATTGTAGAGCTGCTCTTCAGCTGGTCTGACTCTGTGCAGTTGAAGTGATACCATTTACCCTCAGCTGGCTTTCCAGTTCATTGCTCTCTGGCAGGTTTTTCTTGGGAATAACCCATCACATTCATGTTCTGCCAAGACCGGCTGTGATACAACTAACTCAGAAGTCTGATTTGACATGCAGAACCTGTGTCACTGAATCTGCAAAAAGTCTTCTGAAAAGATTTGATTTTAATGTGCTCACAAGAGACCAGGGAGGAGAACTTGAGAAAAATGTATGAGCCCAAAATAGAGCAAGTGATACGTAGGATGTTTTCTTTATGGTATCAGAGGGTCTTTAGCTGAAGGTGGGCTGGGTCCTACATCAGGTTGTTGGAATTTCTTCTCATGGTGAGTGGAGAACAGCTGAAAGGAGCTTTGCTACTCTAGCAGTCAGCAAAATCACTATAATTAAATGGATGCAAAAGCAGAATTACAAAGAAGAGAGATGTGTAAGTACTCATCAGAAATGATAGCACAGAATTAGTGTTCTGAAAGGAATTAAAGTTTGCAAAATTATAATCCAGTAATTAGGGCAATTAAAGAAGTTGTGAAATATCCAGAACAAAAGACCCAGAAGAATAATTCTTATGTGCTGCTCCCTCCCTGAATGAAATTTTTGTTTGTGGGGTAAAAAAATGTAAAGATAGGAAAATTTACCAGTTAGAAATAGAAGTAGAATCTTGAAAAGCTGAAGCATAATATTATTGTAGTGAAAAGGTCACTTCAAAACAATCAGTTTTAAAAAATCATACTTAGCTTTTCCAAACTGCATAGGGGAAAAAAAAAATTCTGTGGTGTCAAATGTATTAGCACAATTTCATTTTCAGGTGCTTCTTCAATATATGCTGGCAGCAGACCCTGAGAGCTGTGAATGTGAGGTCTAACAATTCTTTCAGTGTAAAACAGGCTTTGGGCAAAATCTGGTGAAAGAAACCCAGACCCTGGGTGATCTGGGAGCCCTGTTTGGTTTGCCCCTAAAGCCCACTGGCACTACCCTACAAGGAGGCTCTGCTACGGCGTCTGCTTCGTTGCTTGTATTAATTGAATGCATTTGTGAGGTCTCATACAGGATGGTTTTTATTTCATGCTGCTGGACTATACCTTGTTTTACTAAATCTCGCCTTGCTTTCCCAAGTCTCTGACAGGTGCAATGCCGACGCGGGAGGCTTTGCCTTTGCTTCGTTCCAAGCCAGACGTTTACATGCTACCTGCTAATTTCAGGGGACATTTAAGCAAAAGCTCCCGGGAGCCGATGCTGGGCAGCTGC